CACCATGCACTGCTTTACTGCACAGTAACTAACGCTTGCCCATGCCCGAGCTCCTGCTGGTGCCGGAGTAATTCACTCATATTCCTCCATCTTGCTCCTACTGTCCATGGACGATGCAAACCTGGTGTGGCTTATAAACCGACACGCAGAAGAAGTAGTTCTAACAAATGTTTTGCATGTTTATGTGCCCGTATGCATGTGCATTCATATCACACACAGCATCATCCCCATTTGAAAGACAAAACACCTGCAGAGCCCTCTGAAGATGTGCTAAGTGGAGACTGCTCTCCTATCTCAATGTTTCTCTTGTTCTCCTCTTACCTCGAAGTCAATTACCACAGGATTGTCCTTTGTTGATTCCAGCCAGTTTCTGAAGACTGTGTGTCCTGGAAAAGTCCCCTTTTTCTCCCAGGCCAGAGCTGCAGCATATTCTGACCTGCCACCTTTTACCAGGGAGAGTGACCGTTCGGCTGACTCCAAAATGGAACCTGAAAGGGGATTTCATCACAGTATTGTCAGGAAAAGGCCTCCAAAGACAGTGGGTGTAACAGAGTTCTAAGAAGTATAAGAGGGTATAAAAGAATATACTAAGATTAATTTTTTGATGCTACTCTTGGAGGAATGATGTCTAAGGTCAGAAAAACAATCCCCACTGTAACAGCAGCCTGTCATAGTCTTCCAGATGAAAGTGTCTGAGACCTCAGTCATGGAGATATTCAGAACCACACAAGACACTTGTGGAAAATGCAGAGGATACATCAGGCTCCTACAGAAGAATACATTGCAAGAGAGGATCTTTAATCCCAGCTGTGAACACCTCAGTAATGGGAACTGATGATAAAATGAGGGCAAGCAGGATGAAATCTCTGTTTACAGAGATGCAGAAACATTACTCTTTCCATGCTTGCAGAAAATGCACCAAGTTTCTGCAGTTTTCTGAGACACATTTCCGGCATTGCCAAGGACTCCTGACACCTAGATGTCTGCTTGGTACGAGGAAGACGGGAGTGGAAGGCAGGGACCATGTTCTGCACAATTCTCTCAATGAGCCCTGAGCAAACCTTAAAGAAGATCAGGGACTCAGTCATAATTATACGTTTCTAGTTGTGCCCATTTCCCAGTTCAGCATGCCTGGCCCTGGATCCAGGGCCATGGGGAATGTTTTGTAAGATCCTTGACTGTCTGGAAGAGCCAGTGCCACCGGATCCCCAATGATGGTGGTCTAGAGCAGAGGAAGAATACTCCTACATCATAATTTATTTTGCAAGTAAGACAATGTTTCCAATGCTTGTTTCAGAGATGAACAGTGAAACACTGGCTCCTCTGACAGTAGTGGAAGAGCATCTGTAGTTCAACAAAGCTGTGTGGCCACCTGGGGCACCTAGCTGAGGGGAATGGTATCTCTCAGGGTAAGTAACAGGATGTGGGCCCTGTTCTCATCATGGTCACCTTCATGTTTCACAGTCATCCTGTTCGTGGTGCACCTGGTACTGACTTTCTTTTTCTTCCGGAAGAACACACGCCTTGTTGTTTCTGTTCGGACACACTCCATTGATTCATCCACTGCCAGGCCTAGAAATACCACAGAGCAGCATGTTCATCACCATAACCAAGTTACGTGACTGGCACCATGCCCCCAGGCTTCCGCACCAAGGTAAGCCATTACAGGTCTGCTTGCTCCTCACCCTGTAGAGGCTTCATTATTGCAGGCACCTGATTCCTCAGGTACAAACAGCATTGGACTGTGTCATGCTTACCATCCCTTTTAGGTACCCTCCCATACAAATCACAACAGTGACATTAAGGATCCCAGCTTTTAACCTGAAATTTCCACTTTTGTGGTATTTTTTTTTTCATTTTGACAGTCTGGCAGTCATGGGATTATTTTTAGAATAATTTCTAATCTATACCTACAGCTTTAATGACCTTTAATCACAAAAGGTACAATTTACACCTCTCAGACCTCAGTCCCACACTGAAGCATACTGAAACATCTTTTCCTGGTGGCACCTGGTCTCTGAAGATCTTAAGAGGTTTTGCTGAACACAATGACATTTACCAAATAAGGAACCTCTTGAACTTTTCAAATTAAGAGAGTGTAAAGCAGAAATTTCTTCTTGCTCTATATTTAGTCGGTGTAGGTAATTCCTGGGTCTATGCAAGTCTAAAGATTTTTTGCTGTTGAACTTACTCTGTGGCGTAAGGACTAAAAACAGAGATACAAAAACCTGGTAAACAAATCATGATATTTTCTTGTTAAAGATTACGTACCTGAGTTCTTCAATTCCTCAGAGCTGTACTGGTAAAGAATGTCATAGGAACCACCCATCTTCCCAGCGGTGTAGTAATGAGTGCCAAAGTCATCAAATACTCTGCTGTATAAAGCGTAGTTGTACTCCAGGGGCAGGTGGTTAAGTGCTTTTAGAAAGACGTCAGAGAGCTGCAGATCTGATTGTTTCATTGTGAAGTTTGCAACAGAAATTACTTTATGGACTCTAATAAAGTTGGAATTCTAGAAATAAGAAAAAGAGTGTCTTAGCACCTTCATAGGTGGTTAGTCGCACGATGTAGAGGAGCCAGGATTATGTCCTAAGATACATAGCAAGAACCAATTAATCCTGTGTATCATGCTGCTTTAATGATGAACAAACGTTTCCAAAAGCCCTGTGAGGTTCTTGAGGACAATGCTCATTACTCCTTATACATTGTAAGAGTGTATAGAATTCCAACAAAAATTAGGACTTCCTGGCTACCTACCAAACAGAAAGCAAAAGGATTCCTCCCATAACAAATACACCAGCAATTGATAAGACAACCAAAAGTTGCAGAGGAAAGGCTTCAGGTGTTTTGCAACTGAACTGGTGAATGGGTATTTTGGAATATATAGTAGTAACAGTAACTACCTCACTGTTACGAAGTTTCACAATTTATCAGTCTGCTAAAACTAAAACTAAACTGCAGAGATAAAGATCTCATTGAGTTCAGCCGTCAGGCTGTTAATGTGAGAGGCAAAAAAACCCGTTCAAAACCTGGAAACATCTCTTACATTTAGAAAAAAGAATGATGGTTTTGAAACATCTAATTCATATATTCTTGCAATGTTAGCACCTTTTTATGTGGGAATTTAACTAAACGGAAAGGAGAGAAACAGAAAATACTGCAAGAAGGGATTTATAAAGTGACAAGGGGAACTGATGGCACAAGGCCAAAGCAAAGAGATCAAGAGCAAAAGGAGGGGCAGGAAAGTGGAGCAAATGACCAACCTGCAGATCGAAAAGATTCATTATGAAACAGTTTGTTACTGATCTACACATGGGTTCTTCTGATGAATTTTGCTGCTGGCAGGTTGTCTCTACTCCATTTCTGTCTCCAAGGTCACTTGGCTTAGAAGAGACAAGGATGCACAGAGACAAGGAGCTCCCCCAGCTGGGACTGGCCAACATAATGTGCAAGCTGGACGTCACCTCTCAGTCCTGCACAGCCCTGCTTATTTCAGAGCTCTTATTTGGACATTGGGGAAAAAAGCTAAGGACGCTCAGCTTTCTGCTGCAGTAAGAATAAGAATGGAAGAAATAGGGTATGTAAAAATTCCCAATACTCAGCTCCTAAAATACCCTGCAGTAACATAATTTTTTAGGATTTTTGGGTGATTTAGGTTCTGATCCTCAGTTTTCAGCTGTGCCAGCTAACATTTCAGTTATGACACATGAAATTACAGGCTACTTTTGCAAATACTGATTCTAAAACTTTAGTTGCATAGGAGGCACTTGCATGCTAAAAATTCCCACTTGACATGCATTTCACTTTTCCATTTTCTGCTAGTAAAAGTATCCTGTATCCTAAGTGCTTTTATTACTAGCAGTTAAGTGCTTTTATTACTAGCAATTTACATCATAGTTGTCAAACCCAGTGATTTCTATGTTAAACCCCTGAGATACGCACGATGTTGGAAACCCTCACTTGTAGAGCAATCCCAGGAAACTGGATTCCAAAGTCTCCAGTCGTTTCTGGGCACTTGTTTAATCATAGTGGTAAGCCCTGGTGCCTGTGGCAAACTTGACCCTTGAGTACCAAGTATTACTACAAAATATTAACAGATCAGGGATGATTATTCCCAAAGAAAGCCTGGTCTAAATCAAGCATGAATACTCAAGTTCAGTTTTGTTATACAAACTACTTCATTGACAAAAAGTGACCAAACACAAGCTGAGCTGGACTGATGTTGAAACCAGTAGTTTTAATTAGAAATTTTCTAACAAAGCAGGTTTTCACCTGCACATGGTGATTAAGTAGTCTTTCATCCTAAATATCATAAGCGGAGTTGCCACAGAATCATGTCTGTCCCTGCCTGACATCCCAGGGATGGAGATATCTTTCTGTTTTAGAGCTTTCAGTTTTTCAATTGTAGTTCAAGCAGTCCAGTTAACCGCTACCAGAAATACTAGGAACATGGGCTAAGGGAGTGGGCACAAATTCTGATACAAAGCCTTCAGAAGTCCTTTGTCATCACAGCATGGGAATTCAGTGACAAAAAAATGAAGAAAACAGTACATAAAAATAACAACATGGAGCATGATGGGCAAGATTAGTGGAAATGCTGTTGCCTACGGATATGTAAGCTGAATCCCATCCTAGATGGTTACCATGATGCAGAAGATATAAGGGAGGTCATGAGGATGATCTTTAAGGACACTTTTCATGGAGTGCAAGAGCTCTTGATCTTCAGGTGTAAGAAATCAGGAAAGGAAGGGAAGAGAGCTGCATGGCTGAGTGGAGACCTGATGGGCAAACTCAAGGCCAAGAAGGAAACGCACAGGCAGTGGAAGCAGGGACAGGTATCCTGGGAAGAGTACAGGGACACTGCCTGGTTGTGTAGGGATGAGGTCAGGAAGGCCAAGACACAGCTGGAGCTGAACTTGGCAAGTAACACAAAGAATAATAAGAAGGGCTTCTACAGGTATGTGAGTCAGAAAAGGAAGGTCAAAGAAAACGTAACCCATTTGATGAACAAGACTGGCAAACTGGCAACAATGGATGAGGAGAAGGCTGAGATACTCAGTGACTTCTTTGCCTCAGTCTTCACTGGCAGTCCCTCTCCCAAAACCTCTCGAGTGGATGGACTGCAAGTTGGGGACAGGATGAACAAAGTCCCTCCCACTGTAAAAGAAGATCAGGTTTGAAACCACCTGAGGAACTTGAACATACACGAGTCTATGGGACTTGATGAGATGTATCCCAAAGAGGGAATTGGCCGATGTAATTGCCAAGCCACTCTCCATGATATTTGAAAAGTTGTGGCAGTCAGGTGAAGACCCTGGAGACTGGAAAAGGGGAAATATTACACCCATCTTTAAAAAGGTAGCAAGGACCCTGGGAATTACTGACCTGTCAGCCTCCCCTCTGTGCCTGGCAAGATCATGGAACAGATCCTTTCAGAAGCTATGCCAAGGCACATGGAGGACAGGGAGGTGATTCAAGACAACCAGCATGGCTTCACGAAGCCAAGTCCTGCCTGACCAACCTAGTGGCTTTCTCTGATGAAGTAACCACATCAGTGAACAAGGGAAGAGCTACGGATATCATCTACCTGTACTTCTGTAAGGCCTTTGACACAGTCTGCCACAACATCCTTCTCTCTACATTGGAAAGATATGGATTTGTTGGGTGGGCTGTTGGGTGGATGAGGAATTGTTTGGATAGTCATATCCAGAGGGTAGTGGTCAATGGCTCAATGTCCAGATGGAGATCGTTGACAAGTGGTGTCCATCAGGGGCCTGTACTGGGACAAGTACGCTTTAATATCTTCATCAGTGACATAGAGAGTGGGATTGAGAGCACCCTCAGCAGATTTGCAGATGACACCAAGCTGACTGGTGCAGCTGACATACCTGAAGAATACAGAGGGACCTGGACAAGCTTGAGGAATGGGTTCATGTGAACCTCATGAGGTTCAATAAGGCCAAGTGCAGGATCCTGCACCTGGGTCAGGGCAACTCCCACTATCAATATAGGCTGGGGGATGAAGGGATTGAGAGCTACCTTGCCAAAAAGGACTTGGGGAACTGGTGGATGAAAAGTTGGACATGGGCCAGCAATGTTCCAATCTAGAAGGCCAACCGTAACCTGGGCTGCATCCAAAGCAGTGTGGCCAGCAATTCGAGGAAGATGATTCTGCCCCTCTACTGCACTCTGGTGAAACTCCATCTGGAGTCCTGCATCCAGCTCTGGAGCCCTCTGCACAGGAAAGACATGGACCTCCTGGAGCAGGTCCAGAGGAGGCCACAACTGTGATCAGAGGGATGGAACACCTCTGCTGTGAGGACAGGCTGAGGCAGTGGGGATTGTTAAGCCTGGAGAAGAGAAGGCTCCAGGGACACTTTCTTGCAGCCTTCCAGTCCTTAAAGGGGGCTTGTGAGAAAGACAGGGACAGATTTTTTAGCAGGGCCTGTAACGATAGGACAAGGGGTAATGGTTTTAAACTAAAATAGGGTAAATTTAGACTAGACATAAGGAAAAAAATGTTAAGGGGTTTTTAAGGATTTTTGGCACATATGCTATTAGGATTTTTATACCTCACTGAGAAAAATTAAACTGCAACAAAACATTGCTTCCTCCTTTAGTAAAGAAAGTCAGTAAGTCTTCACACAGCTGTTATAGTGAGAACTCAGAGTACCTTTCCAAATAATTCATCAATGAATAAGCCCTTCAGAGAGATTTGAGTATAATCAAACCCAAAATATGGCAAAACGAGACAGAAAAACCATCAATCTTGCCAATGAACCAAGGGGAGGAGAAGCAGTATATCTTCTTTCCTTACCCGAGTTCCTGGCTCCTTGCACCAACGATGCCAGCTTAGAAAAGAGATGAAGCCCTACAGGACTCCCTCCATTACTTTGTTCACTCCCTCACCATACCGTACATTGACAAACTCTGTTTATTCTTACCTGTGAGCAAAACTCCAACCGATCAATATACCAGAAGCTTATCAACAGCCACATAGATGTAGGTACAAGACAGATTAATTCAGCCCTTTAAAGACACTCCCCCCCGCCCCAAAACACTTCCCCACATGTCTTGGAACCCGTGTGCATTGAAACCAACAAAAAAGTTTCCTTATTAACTTACTGTAAGACCGTCAGCTGCAAAGTCAGTCAACTTTGCAGACTGGGGTGACCTTAGCATGGCTTGCTGCCGTCTCTTAAATGAGAGGTTGGAGGGTTTGTTTGATTTGGTTATCGGTTAATGAAGGTAGATCTGGCAGAAACGGTCAGAACAAAACGGCCTCTCCACCAGCACCCCCCAGAGAGACATGTTCTAGAGAATTGTGGAGGAAGAACAGCTCTTTGTACAAATGTAGCTGCCCAACAAGAGCAGAGAGGAATAAAAATACCTTTGCATTAGGCCTTAATGGCTTAGTGCACTGCAGGTCTGCTTGTGCTGCCCGATAGAGCTGCACAACCTCTTTGCTCTCAGTTTAAAGGAAAGAGAGGGAGAATCTGGTAAGTCAGCACATGGTCATTATTGCTTTCACTGGGAAACAGGAGACGGAGTCCAAGCCAGGGCAAAATACCCATCTAGTGTTGCAGCCCCTTTTTGGGAGCAAAAGTGGGGGTCCCAGAGAAAGGAAACACCCAAATACATTTGAGGTTATTTACAGCTCTTTACCTTTTGCCCTCCATGGTGAGCTCTGGGCACACAGTGACCCTGGAGAAGTGCAGCCAGCAGACAAGGGCTGCTGAGAGCCTCTGCCCTGCACCACGGGCACCATCCCAAGACTGAGGTGCCAGGGCAGGAATTAAAACAGAAAGCAAGAGCATACACCTTTGCAGAACAGACACAGCAATCACAAGCAAAAACCAATGAAGCTGTTTGCTCTAAAAAAATAATAAAAGTCTGGAACAGAACCCCAAACCTCCCGAACACCCAACATGCACCCCTCCCAGAGGGCAATGCTGCACTGAATCCCCCTTCACTTCAGCAGACTGACAGAAACATTTCAAGACATCAGAGTCCTCAAAACATACTTCCCAATTTGTTGGGACCCAAGGATCATACATATTCTTGAAAAAGAAAAACAAATCAGAGCTTACTGCATAGCTTCATTTTCCAGTTG